TGTTGAAGGCAAATATTTTTTTACAGAAATAATGTTCATAATATTCCCTACACAAAATCATCTGCTGGTATAAAATATCTTAGGTAGTTATATTTATATAAGCATTTATTTTGACCGTTGCGTCAACGCAACACCAGCGGCTAATATGTTAAGCAATATTACGCGCTTCCCAAGGATAATTAAAAAAAAATACCACTATAAAATCAAATAATAATGAATAAATTTTAACGAACTTAAGATAAAGGTGGGTTCCTGACATTTATCCGGTAATTAAGATAAAATAACACGCCGAACAAGTATTAATTTAGAAGGTCAAACAAAAATCTGCGTCATATTTGTAAATTTTCACAAGACTAGTTTCGATGGTTTTATGGAACCATCACCCTCAGTTGCCAAAGCCCAAATGAACGAGATAAGATATAGTGATTAGATAAGATAAGATAAGAATGGCAAGGCAGGAGTTAAGCTACAGGCGCCATGTATTGATGAAACGAGAACTAAAACATAATTTTATTAAAAGCTGATGGCAAATATGGATTGAAATTAAGGTCGTCAACTGGACAGAAAGTTTTTTTTTTCGAATCTTAAACGTCTCTAAAAATCCGATTCACCAATGGAAGATGTTTTTTTGAATAATTTTTGGCCCCCGAAAAATTGAAAGTGTGATTTTCGGACCAACACTACCGAGCAACAGAGGATTTCTGTGTTTCGTTTTTTCTAACATATGCTTCATGTTTATTTTTTTAAATTTTAAGGCTCTCTTAGTTTGACCAATGTAAATTCAACCACACTGGCACAGAATCCAGTAAATACTCCAGGAATTCAAATTCGGAATGGAGTCCTTGAATATGGAATTCGGAATTTTATTGTTAGGAGAATAAACGAAATGAATATTAAATTTCTGTAAAATACGTGTAATTTTAGAGTTAATTGAAGGAAAGAAAGGAATGACAAAATAATTCTTTTAATCTCGTAAAACAACAGCGTGCCTTTTCGTGTGCTGAGATGAGAGTTTTGTAACTGCTTGATTAATAAAGTTGGGTGAAAAGCTCCGGTCAATAAGTACTGCTTTTAAATAATTTAGTTCTTGATCAAGAGCCAGTTTGGAGGAGCAAACTTGAAGTGCACTGAAAACATAAGAATAAAATGAAGCTAACTTTTGTTTAGTCGGATGACATGATTTGAAGTGTGGTGGAAGATGAAGGTTTACTGTAAACTGTAGGACTGAAGTTGGATGTGTTACGTGTCGAGGAACGGAAGAGAATTGTGTGCCTCAAGTTCAACCATAGCTGAAGGTCTTTAAAATTATCGGTTATAGCAGAAGGTGTAGAAAACATGTCACAAGTTATTATTATTATTACTATTGTAAGCTATTTATTTCACTTAACCAGTTATTTTTATGTTCCGAAACTTTATTGTCACTTCTCCCTTTCCATTTTCTTGCTAGATTGCAAATTTTAACTCGCTTGTATTTAACCTTCCAGCACGTGCGTATGCGCAAAATTTACGACAAATTCAGTTTTTAATGCACATTTTTCGCATATGGAAGCTGAGACGTCTGAAGTTCATTTCTATTCCTCCTTTCTACCCTTCCCCACATCATAGAATGTGCCAACAGGAAGTCATTTGCCTTTTTTATTTTTTATTTATTTATTTTTTTTTTTTAACTGGGCTTTTGTGAGCAGCTTTTTCGTAAAATTTACGACACGCGCGTGGTTGTATGTGAAAATTCGGAAAGTATTTTTTTTCTGAAGTATTTTTTTATTTTGTGTTATTTATTACCGTGTGTATTATTATTTTAATTTGAATACATTTGGCTCTGTAAATTTTATATCGGTTTTCATTGCAAAAAATATGTGCAACCAGCTGATTTTGCTTGCATTCTTCAAGATTTATCTGATGAAAAAAAGGAAGACAGGGAAATCTTTGGAAGAGAGAACAATAGCGATTTCCATTTCTTATTTTCTTTTATTTTTATTTTTTAGTGCGTTTTTGTAACCAGTAAGAAGTAAATTTCCTTGCAGAAGTAAATAATGCTAAACTTACTTTTTTTCTACCAAGGTGTTTTCCTTTTTTATTTGTCTATACTTGCCTTTGATGAATATTAAAATTGGCTTCGATTTTAAAATATAATTATTAAATAATAATTAAAATTTTCTATATTGAAATACATCGTTGCATTTCCATCTCACTAACATAAGAACTTAAAAATAATTTACTTATATTTGAATATGATATCATTTGTATTTTGCAATAATAAGTTTAATAGTTTATTTCTTAACAAATTTATTATCAATATTCACTCGTTCCTGTCGTTTTTCGGGCCAAAAACGGTAAAATAACGGATGTCGTAAAAAATACAACGCGCGCGTGCTCATGTAAAATTGCCAAGCGCACGTGCTGGAAGGTTAAGTGAGGATTTGAGATTACTTTAGTCAGACTAATATTCCGCCTGCTGAAGGGTACGTTACTAATTGATATTTTGCGGTAGCATCCCCCTCTACGACATTGCTTTAATCTTACAGATAGTGCTGTCACGTCGGTACAGGTTAGAGACAATCTGCGTAGCTTCTAGTTAAAACTTAGTTTTAATCTAAATTCTGTTTTTTAAGTTACGCCATAATTGCTGGTTGGTTTTGCAAGCAGCAGGCATGCATTCTGTTCAATTAAGTTCTTAATCAAAGGGTCTTTTACACCCATTTTTACATTTCTGTTGGCTTAACTATATATAATAATAAGTCGCTTAGTTCTATTTAGAGTCTTCACTTAGTTTATGTTACCAAAAAGAGTAAGACTCTACATTATTATTATTATTATTGATCAAGCATTTTAACTTATATCCAAAGCCTTATAATTTGTTGTGCAAGCATTAATAGTAGCTCATCAGCAATGCTTTGATACAGGCTCGATTGAGTCCCCCCCCCCAAAAAAAGTGCGGTAAACATTAAATTTTATGTTTATTTGCCCCAATAGGTATGTCAGAATGTTCTTAATATGTTTGATAATATTTATAAAAATTCATTCTGATGCTGAACTAAGAAAGAATTTTTTAATTACTTAATTGTTAAATTATGTCGGTTTCAAAAGCATGATTTTTATTGTTTGTTGCCTACTGCGAAACCTGAATTTAGAAGCCTCTAGAATCAATGAACTGAACGAAATTCAAAGATTTTACTCAAGGACTCAAATTTACTGAATTAAAATTTACTGAACAAATAAATCAGAATATAAATATCTCCTCGTTTCTCTAACTTTTCATACATTTTATACCAATTTATTTTTTAGTACTAAGCAATTTTCTAATTATCTTATAAATTTTATGTTTTTGAAATGCGCTGATGCAATAAGTTCTTGTATAATGAATTATTTTATTTGCATTACGACTAATTTTGTTGAATGACCGTAATTTCAGGGTACTGTACCGAACAAATAATAATAACCTCGCTTAGACGAAATGTTCATAAATTTATTTCGGAGTAGGCTCTGGTAACCATTGTTCCGTGGAATATGGATGAGACAACAACAACAACACAAAATTTTAACTCTGTGTTATTATGTTTAAGTGAAAATATTGTAAGGTAGTAATTAGGTGTCCAGTTCTGTATTTTTAATATTATTTATTATGATAAATATAAGACTATAAAAATTGTTCATATATTTGCCAACCAACATACAATGCATTGATTAACTTTTATGCGGGGTAGACAAAAGGTGTTAGACAAACTCTATAGGTAGGTCAGAAATACAAAAGCAATCATTTTTATGCGTATAACAAATGCTCTCTACATTTACCAGACACAGGAAGGATAAGAGATAAAGGAATACAATTAGTTATTTAGGATTTTAGAACATAATGTAGCTTTACAGTTTCAGAGAAAATTTAATTCGCCTATGTCAGTATATGCCTCACAGCATCCACATGCCGATATTCGAAGATATTTAAAAAATGCCAGGCTCTTGCGGCTATATGTTAGTGCCGGAAACGCTGTTGTGTAAGGGGTGTTGGAAGCCAAAAATCTTCAAAAAAATAGTGATTTGGGATTTTTGTATTTTCAAATTCTCTACACTTATAGCTTCTAAAAATACCATACTTTTATCTCTATGAAAATTAGAGCTGTAAAAAAGCTAGTTTTAATTTATCATGGAATGCTTTGATAAATGAGGATATTTTACATAAAAATGCGTTTTTCTCCAAATGTGTTATTTTATACTCATGAACCTTTTCTCAGGAACTACTGTTCACAGGTTTGTAATTTTTTATGGCTTATTTATTATGTTTTGTAATATTTACTAAAATGAGTTTTTTCTGATAAACTAAGAAAAAAAAAAAATTCGCAGTTTTGTTTGTGCGAAAAGTGCTAAATTTTACTATGCCTAATACAATATTCTATAAATTATTCTAAAACTCAAACTCATTTCAGTATAATCAAATAGGTGTATTTTAATTACACAAAATATTTTAAACTTATATCTATAGCAGATTTTGAGAAAAGATTGGCCAATTTAACACTGTTGGTATAGAGGTTCCCACTCACCTAAGTATCAGGGGCCACATAGCTATGGTACACATTTTGCCTTTTAGATACGCTCAAAGGAAGACATCAGTGGAAGATAAGTTGGATAAATGCGACGGGTTAGAAGGAAAAGCTGAAGTGTTTTTTTCTTTCGTAGAATCAATGTCTTGAATGAAAAGAATCCACACTGCCCAGTGTAATCTATAGCAAATAATGCTGTTTAGCATAGGAGGGAGGAACGTCCGGTACTAATGCTCCAATGTAAACGTAACTGCTTCTGTATTCCTTATCTGCTGTTAATGTTTGTCTAAGACCCTTTAAACCATTTTGTGTATTTTGCAACCAAAGCCCTGACAGATAATTTTTCTTATTACTATTAATATGATTATTGTTGTTATCTTATTGCTGCTATTATTATTTCATATCAGACTTGTTGGCTCTTTCGTTCTGAGGTACAAAGGTTCTGAGGTACAAAGATTCATTCGTTCAGTATTGCTGACCAAAAAGATTGTAAAAGTGCATAACATTATGTAACCCGAGGGCATGTCCGTGATGATGTCCACTGTGGTGTCCATGGTGATGACCGTGATGGTGTCCATGATGATGCCCATGATGGTGTCCATGGTGGTGTCCATGATGGTGACCATGATGGTGTCCATGGTGGTGACCATGATGATGGCCATGATGATGTCCGTGGTGGTGACCGTGATGATGGCCATGATGATGTCTGTGGTGCTGGCCGTGATGATGACCATGGTGATGACCATGATGATGTCCGTGGTGGTGGCCGTGATGATGACCATGGTGATGTCCATGATGATGACCGTGATGATGACCATGGTGATGGCCGTGGTGATGACCATGATGATGTCCGTGGTGATGTCCGTGATGATGTCCATGATGGTGATGATGTCCATGGTGATGATGGTGACCGTGATGATGTCCATGGTGGTGCTTATGGTCGTGGCCGTGATGATGATGATGGCCATGGTGATGATGGTGACCGTGATGATGCCCATGGTGGTGCTTATGCTCGTGCCCGTGATGATGATGGTGGCCATGATGGTGATGATGTCCATGGTGATGATGGTGACCGTGATGATGACCATGTTGATGATGGTGGCCGTGATGATGTCCATGGTGATGCTTATGTTCATGTCCGTGATGGTGGTGGTGATGGTGATGATGATGATTTTTCATATGAATTTCAATTTTTTTCTTGTGATGGTGACTGAAATATTGGGGAATATATATAATATATATAAAACATAAATATTATTTTGGTTTATTTATATATGTTTATAAAAATGAAACATTTGTAGTTGAAGATAAAGCATATTTTTTATATATTTTAGAAATAATTTATAAAGACTGAATTTATTATCAAATTTAATAACATTACCCATGGTGGTGTCCAACAGTATAGTACACAGGATAGTATTTTTGGCAATATACTTCAGTAATTTCCATTGCCACAACTATCATAAACCACAGTTTGAAGTCCAGCAGCAGTCCAGACGTCTTCATTTTGATATTTTCTGAATAAAATAAGGCATACATTGTAGACTTTCATATTATTATTAGATTTAATTTTGACTAATATTAGCAAATATTTTGGATAACTTTAAGAAATTATCTTTTTTTTTTAATCAGAGTACAGTAATTGCAGAAAATTATATATATATGTCAGTTTCTGTAAAGCTGCATGAATTAAAAAATTATTGCTTTAGCTTTCGTACAATAGGCTTACATAAGACTCGATATCATCTTGCTCTAAATTTCATAGGCCAATCTAGGGACAGTAAAACTTTCATGATGGATGATGAATGGAATTGTAGGTGGCACGAGAAGAGTGACACTTTCATCTGAAAGTTAGGAAGCGTTTAAAAAGAGCAGCGCTCTTCATATTAATATTTAAGCTTCGCGAACTTGACGTAAAAGTTTTTTAAAAAGCGTGAAAAAGGATTTCAGATATTAAAATATTACACATATATGTAAATTATTACAAGTATGTATCTTATTGCGAACGATTTTAAAGAAGAAGAGAAATTTGGAAGTGCTTATGTTTTGTATATATGTCCAACATATAAACACACAGCGATGGTGCATGGTGTTATTGATGTCATAAGTGTTTTTTGTGGCGCAATCATTATTTTGTAATGAGAACCAATTGTTGCTGGAGAACTCAGTTTTGGTTTTGTTAATGGCGATATTTTCCGATTTATGATCTATGATTTTTGCTGCTCTGTTAGTGCTGAGGCCCGAAGTAGGGACCTATTGGATTATGGAATTATTATTAAAACGATTAAGGCAAAAAGTGCATTTCGGCCATACTTTTCAGCATGGCTAGTGAAATCACCACAAGAGCCTCTATAGGATCTTCCTAACAACAGTACTTTCCAAGCGGAATATATGATAAAATATGCAACAGCTCAAACCAAACTATATGCATTAATGGTGCAAATATTCATGCAAACAGCCAAATAGCAATTAAAGAGCTTTCTAGATGAGAATTAAACTAATTTTCGATATTCTTTTACACCACTATTCATGAACACTGATATTCAAAAAGAATTAAAGCTTACATCAGAATATAATTTAAATAGTTCATTTTTGATGTAAACGTTTATATTTCAAATTCATAACGAATACTTGCTTTTAGTAATGTCAAAAAATTTTCGATACCTCTAGTCGGACGCATCGAGAGGGGCTTTATTAAATTTGACACAAAATTAATTTTATGGTTATTAAAATAGTTAACACCTTTCAAATAATGTTTGATGGTAACAAATTTTGTTTTAGGGCAATAATGAAGACGTATAGAAATGTGTACCTTTTCCAAACTTTCGTTTTGGTGATGGTGATGCTTGATAAATAATAATTTTTCAATGCACTGATTTAAATCAATAGGGTCATCTACAATTCACTAAAAGTTTCAAAGCCAGTCACTTTTAGTGACTGGTTTTGAAACATTGTCACCTTTATCTATTCTATCTCGTAGTTGAAAGGGGGGTAGTCTTCCACAGAAGCACGATTTTTGAGGTGGCATTTTTTATGGGAAACATAACTTTGTATGGGTCAGTCACACGTATCCTTCTGAGTAAAAGGAAGGATTGAGATTTATTAAACTATGTTAAAGTTCACTAGTGAAATTCCTAAGGAGAGGGATGTCTTCCATGAAGGCTAAAATTCTCCATAAAATTCTTGGTAACTGGGAACCCGTCTCATATTCACGTTATGAAAGGGGTGCTGCGCTTGTATGCACCTTTGACATAGGGTAATCCCCTCCAAAAGAAAAAAATCATTCAGCCTCCTTGTTCTCTGGGATTTTACCCCAAGCTAAATTACTAGCATTCAGCGGTCTCCATACACTCGGTCACTGGTGAGGTGAAGTAACACGAGATTGTCAGACTGTCATACGAAACTGAACTGACGGGAGAAATGTTTTTACACTGGGACATTGTAATAATAATAATAATAAAAAAAAACCTCAACAAAATTTCAATAGCTTCATGTTCCTGCTGTGCTTTCGAACTCGTGAATCGAAATTTTTGAAATAAAAATACAACGTTAATTAAATTATGATCAAAATGATATAAACAGAAAAGAATTCATCACTAAAAGAGAAATACCTTAGAGATCAGTTATTGCTTGGAAAGACAAAACAGATAGAAGACGGGTTATTTTGAACTGTTACAGTTATTCTAAAATACAGTCTTCAGAATGTAGTTTCAAATATTGTAACAGGACCACAAATTTTTCCTCTCTACTGTAAATATGGCATGTTGTGAGTGTAATTCTCCTAAACGCAAATCAGTTAAAATGCATTTCTTGAGATCTGAAAAGGAGTATCTTGCTTTTAATAAATTTTATTCTATCTATTGGACAGAAATTGCAGTAACGAAATAAAAGTTCTAGAATGTTATCGAGGGTTTTCCTAACATAAAAACAAGCAAAACAGCCCGTTAAAGTGTTAAATTAAAAATTTTATTTCATAAAATAAACCCATAGCTTTTATTTACTTTCCTATGTGCTATTTTGATATTTTATAAATATTTTGATGTGCACTGAGAGGAGCGGCGAAAATCCTGGCTGCGCAACTGCGTCTTCGATGCACCATGCTATTATTTCTCTTACCCACGCCTCCTGTATTACATAGAGACAGTTACGAAATATTGAATGATAATGCTTAGTATCACTAATCAAGATAACATCAAACATAAAATATAATTCCTAATCTTTCACTAGTTTCCGCACATTTTCGGATCGAACAATTTTCTTGTAAATTTTAAGGTAAATTTTTTGGTTGAATTTTTTTATTGTTTTTGTATATTGGAATTTTTCGTTTTAATTCCATGAATATTTGATTTTGTTGTTTTCAGCTTTTGAACCACTTGATGGATACAAAATGTCCAACTTCTAAATGAAACTCAGTTTAAATATTTTAATTATTTGTTTCTTCTTCTTCGGATCGTTGTCTCAAAATTTTTAGTCAAGTCAAATTATTCGTGTTCTTCAGGATCTTAAAAACCTCGATAAATCGTTCTTTTGATATTTAACTATTACTATATCATTTAATTATAGCAGTTTTGCTTCTTAACAGTTTAAAAAAGTGTATATTTCTGTTCTTAAGGGGACTCATACACCTTAAAACCCATACGATCTTCGAATAGGTGACTGTTGCAAAAATTGGGATAACTTATTTATTTTAAAAGGAATTACTTCCAACTTTTTACGGCTGACTACATAATAGAGCTGCTTTCTGAAATAGTAATCAGAAAGTTTGTGTTGACACAAATATTTTTATAATTTAATCCGCTTTGTGACAAAATTTTTCGTTATGTTTCCACCTTGCGAGCACTGTTTAAAACATTCTGTTGCATAATTTAATTCCATACTTAATATATAGCTTTAATAACATTTGTAAACGACTGTGGACCAAAAATTCTAAGAATTTCGTGTTAAATTTTTACTTTATTTGGAGTTGAGTTTATAAAATTTATTTTATTAAAAAAATCTGTAATGTTTTCGTGCATAAAATTTTTGATATTAAAATATTCATCAGATTTTAGGTTCAGTTAGAAAATAGTGCACATATAAAGAATTCCATCCAATTTCAAGAATGTACCATTAGCCATTTTTAAAATATCATGCGCGCAAGGTGGAAACAGGACGAAACTTTTGTCACAAAGCGGATTAAATTACAAAAATACTTGTGACAACACAAACTTTCTGGTTACTAGTTTCCAAAGCAGCTATTTTATGTAGTCAGCTGTAAAAGGTTGAAAGTAATTGTTTCTAAAATAAATAAAACGTTCTAATTCTTGCAACAGTCACATAGTTGAAGATCATAAGGGGTTTAAGGTGTATGAGCCTCCTTAATACTTTTCGTTAAGTGAGGTACCATTTTATAAGCAGTTATGGTATTTTACTAAAATTGCTTTTGTTTTTAAGGAAGTAAATTGCTTTTATCGTTGCAACTTAAAAACAAAATCATTTTTCTTTATTGGTTCATACTTAATCAACGTAATTATCTCATGCTTATTTAAATGCAGTTTCTAAAATAAAACATTCTTCTTCAATAATTCAGAATATTCATGATCAAGTTTTATCTTGCGCATTGTTGCAGACAAAGCTTAACTAAATTCGTGGTCGTGCAGGGGACGAGTAAAGTGACTATGCAAATCTCTTTGAAAAGGATATAGTGCAAGTTAGATCGTATCTTGGAGAATGACCAAATTGCCAAAGAACGAAGTCGTCTTGGACGATACTTCTTAAAATCCTCCTCACAAGGAATAAGCACAAAAATAGGATAGAAAGAATAACTAAAAGTATACAATACTTTCCATAGTCTAACTTCTGAGAGATGGTTATAATATGTAAGATTTAATATTTTAAAGTATTTTATAAAAGTAGAAAAATGCAAGTTAAAAACGAGGCGTAGAATATTTATATAGCTGTCAGATATTTTAAAAAATTACGTCTCCACTTAAAAAATCATTATGTCAGATACGATTTAAACGTTTTCTAACTGTAAATTTTTATTCATATATATTTTTCAAATTGCAGAAAGCGAAAGAAAGATTTGAAAAATAATCGTGTAAATAAAGTTAAATTTTAGTTCACTAAGTTAAATTTCAGACTTGTAGAACGCCTTTTCGAATTCAAAATTAAATTTTCAACTATTATAAAGGCACCCGCAACTCTGTTAATGAGACAAAAGTATATTCACAATAAGGTTTTTATTCTCATTATGTATTAAAAATAGGCTTTTATTAGTTTTACATGAAATAAACAAAACTGAGTTTTTGACTGAAGTTTTAATTAAGAAAATATGTAGGGCTTTTATTCACATTATGTATAAGGAAACAGGCTCTTATTCAGTTGTTTTTTTGACTGAAGTTTCTATTTTAAAGGAGTAAGAATATTTTAATATATATGTATGTAATTTATATAATAAAATTTTATGTAAAATTTTTAGAAATAAAATTTAAACATGTTATATTTTAATGTTTCCTTTCAAGTTAAATTA